TTCTTCATTCTGGATTAAAATGAGAGAGACAAACTCTGTGCCCTTCGTTGAGCCGGACAAGGCCACCACTCTGTCCCCACCAACAACTGCTCTTACAACATCCACTCAGGCACCCTCGACAGCAGCACCAAGCAGCTGCACTCGTTGGAGACGTCCTTGGTATGGGTGTCCACGACAATCAGCGAGCGGCGTATCACAGTGTACGTTATCTTATGTTCACTCAAGAGAAGAAAAGTGGAGTAGCAAAGTTTACTTGATGCGAAAAACGTTTTGTTTCCTTGGCGTGTCGGCGTGATGGCATAGACGCTTTCAGGCGCGGATCCAGCGGAAGGTTATAGGGGAGGGGGGGCATTTTTCTGAATGTGTCGTGTTGGGTTGCCTAACTTACAGGGGGAAGTTAATAACAAATTTGCTAATATTTGAAAGAACAAACACCCGTTTTCCAAAATGATGAAGAAGACTTGTAGGATGCTTCTCATGCTCCAAGTCAGTTAAAAGAAGCAGTCGCGAGCGAAGCAAGCTAAAAAAAATTTGAAACTATGTGTTAAAATTGGGACCAAAAGCTAAGGGGAAGAAGTAGAAGTCATCGCGAGCGAAGCGAGCGAAAAAAAATTTGAAGAATACGAAATAAAATTGTGACCAAATCTAAGTAAAGTAACAAAAGAAGTCACCATTACCGCAAGCGAAACAAGCTCAGAACAAAATCTGTGACCTAAATCTTGTGACCTACGGAGGAAGAAAAAAAGAATCTGCCAATTTAAAAGCTTTCAAAAGTAAAATATATTAGGTTTATCTAGTAGTGTACAAAAGTGAACGAAATTTTTCAATTCAGAATCAAAGAACAAAATATTTCACTCGTTTAAATGTTTCCTTGTTGCCTGACAATTCCAAAAAAAGACCTATATTTTTAAAAACTTTTTCTTTCCTCCTAATTTTTCCTCTCCTTTTCCTTTACTCCCCTTCTTCCTCCTCTCTTTTCTCTTCTACTCCTTCCTCCTTCTCCCTCCTTTCCCTTCTCTATTTTCTTCGTGCTACGCTTTAACCAGCAGAGCTGATCTAATAACTGACCTCCATTACATACAAACAAATGGCTGCAGGCTGCTGCTTAAACCGATTTAACTATTTGCTCACAAGATACTATCAACGACCGCAGCATTGAAAAGTTGAAAAGTTGCGTGATATTTAATGTGTTTCTGTTTCAGGCATTCTTACGAACCTTAGTATCCACAGTAAAGCAATACAGCGTCTCTGTCTTGGCCTACAGCGCTTGGAGCTTGATTGATTCCTTTGAATTTAGTGGAGGTTATAGGTAAGTCTCCCCCACTCCCCCTTTCCTAATATATACATAAATACAGGCAAGTACTGGAATTGGAGAAGTAAACGATTTCGTCGCTATCCCGCCATTTTCTTTATTTGATTCAACAAATCGAACCATAACTTGTGGCTCATAACGTGGCTCATGAACCTCCAACGTTCCTGAGGATACACTACATTAAAATAAAGGTTCTATTTCGTGCATGAGGCGAGGATAATCTTTTGTTCAAAATAATAGGACAGCCAATGAGAAGGCCGCAACAAAGAGAGAAAAGTCGAGGCGTCCTTGGACCAATATTCTATGTATTTTGCTGCCCCGAAAGACAAGCCTTTCTATTTTCCAAAGAGTCTTAAAATTGGACTTTTCACCACTGTTCTTAGTGTATCGACCTCTAGCTCTGAAACGACTGAAGAGACGGCAATTCCAAGGACTTGTTCTTATTCAAAAACAGATCGGATATTGGTGCGCGTCGAAAGTAAAGAGCCATAAGTTACTTTCACTAATGAGCGGAAATACGTCACCTGTCACCTGATCGATGACCTGACCCCACCCGCCTCTGTTTTTGGCAAAAATGACCTGAGTTGATCGGTTTTGCTCTATAAAAAGCTCAGACGAAAGAGTTTTGAGAATAACTGAGTTTTGGCTGAGTTATTGGAAACTTTCGATTTCGAGGAATAATGTTTTACAATATCCAACGTTATGTCTTCCTAAACTTTTAAGGGGAAATTTTGTCGGGTTACCGGTTTGTGTAGTTGGGTTGAGGTTCAATGGGTGTAAAGAGACAAAAAATACTCAGACATTTCGTAAATGATACTAATTATTTCTCTAGAAGTATCTAGAACTTCTTAGAACTTTCTTAGTAGTTCCTAACAAAATAATTAGTATTTCTCACAAAATTTGTTAGTATCACTAGCAATTTAATGAGTATTATTGCGGTATAAACTAGTTCATTGTTGTTTTTTTTTCAAAATGTCAGTAACGGGCTGAGGGTGAATGTGATTAACGGTGCACTAACATTGAAAAAGATCTCGTGTGCATCGTGCAATACCTAACATGAATATATATTACTTTGATTGCAGCCGACCATTTGGTCTCATCCACGTTGACTACGCGTCCGGTAGCCTGGACCGCTCTCACAAGGACTCTTCTTCATTCTGGATTAAATTGAGAGAGACAAACTCTGTGCCCTTCGTGGAACCTGACCAGACCACCACTCTATCCCCGCCAACATCCACTCAGGCACCCTCGACGGCAACATCCACTCAGGCACCCTCGACGGCAACATCCACTCAGGCACCCTCGACGGCAACATCCACTCAGGCACCCTCGACAGCAGCACCAAGCAGCTGCACTCGTGCAAGTAGCAGTATGACTGTATTACTGCT